AAAAGAATAAAATACCTAGGAATACAGCTAACCAGGGTGGGAGGTGAAAGATCTCTACAATGAGAATTACAAAACACTGATGAAGGAAATTAGAAACAATACAAACAAATGGAAAAATATTCCATGCTCATGATCATGGACAGGAAGAATCGATATTGTTAAAATGGCCAAACTGTCCAAAACAATTTACAGATTCAATACAGATTCAATGCTATATCTATCAAACAGCTAATGACATTTTTCTTTTTCTTTCTTTTCTTTTTTTTTTTTTTGGTGGCGGGGGGGATAGAGTCTCACTCTATTGTCCAGGCTGGAGTGCAGTGGCACAATCTTGGCTCACTGCAACCTCTGCCTCTCAGGCTCAAGAGATTCTCCTGCCTCAGCCTCCTGAGTAGCTAGGATTACAGGCACCCGCCACTGTTCCCAGCTAATTTTTGTATTTGTAGTAGAGACAGGGTTTCACCAGGTTGACCAGCCTCCCAAAGGAGGCTGAAGCCGGCAGATCACTTAAGGTCGAAAGTTCAAAAATTCAAATTTTCACAGAATTAGAAAAATACAGGCAGGCACGGTGGCTCACACCTGTAATCCCAGCAATTTGGGAGGCCAAGGTGGGCAGATCACTTGAGGTCAACAGTTCGAAACCAGCCTGGCCAACATGGTGAAACCCTATCTCTACTAAAAATACAAAACAATTAACCAGGTGTGGTGGTGGGTGCCTGTAATCCCAGCTACTGGAGAGGCTGAGGCAGGAGAACTGATTGAACCCAGGAGGTGGAGGTTGCAGTGAGCTGAGATTGCACCACTGCACTCCAGCCTGGGGCGACACAGCGCGACTCCATCTCAAAAAAAAAGAAAAAGAGAAAAAGACATTCTACAGTTCATTTGTAACCAAAACAGAGCCCAAATAGCCAAAACAATCCAAAGCCAAAACAACTTCAAACCAAACTACAAGATTACAGTAACCAAGACAGCATGGTACTGGTACCATAGACCAATGGAATAGATTAGACACACAGACCAATGGAACAGATTAGAAAACCCAAAAATAAAGCCACACGCCTACAACCATCTGATCTTCAACAAAGCCAACAATAACAAGGAATGGGGAAAGGACACCCTATTCCATAAATGGCACTGGTATAACTAGCTAGACATAGACAGAAGATTGAAATTATATCCCTTCCTTACACCATATACAAAAATAAACTCAAGATAGATTAAAGACTGAAATGTAAAGCCCCAAAACTATAAAAACTGAGAAGAAAACCTAGGAAATACCATTCTGGATGTGGACCCAGCAAAGACTTCATGATGTCAACTCCAAAAGCAATTGCAACAAAAATAAAAATTGACAAGTAGGACCTAATTAAACTAAAGAGCTGCACAGAAAAATCAATGATCAACAGAGTAAACAGATAAGCTACAAACTGGGAGAAAATATTTGCAAACTATGCTTCTGACAGAAGTGTAATATTCAGAATCTATAAGAAACTTAAATCAACAAGCAAAACCCAAGGAAACCCATTAAATAATGGACAAGGGTTAATTTGTGCAGTGGTAATAGAAAAAAAAAGGAAAAAGATGGGCAAAGGACCTGAATAGACACTTCTCAGAAGAAGACATACATGTGTGGCTAGGCACCGTGGCTCATGCCTATAATCCCAGCACTTTGGGAGACTGAGGCAGGCAGATCACCTAAGGTCGGGAGTTCCAGACCAGCCTAGTCAACATGGCTAATCCCCAACTCTTAGTAAAGTACAAATATTAGTCAGATGTGGTGGCGCACACCTGTAATCCCAGTTACTCAGGAGGCTGAGGCAAAAGAATCACTTGAACCTGGCAGGCGGAGGTTGCAGTGAGCCAAGATCATGCCACTGCATTCCAGACTGGGTGACAGAGGAAGACTCGTCTCAAAACAAAAACAAAGCAAATCCCAGGTCGGGCGCAGTGACTCACTCCTGTAATCTCAGCACTTTGGGAGGCTGAGGTGAGCAGATCATCTGAGGTCGGGAGTTTAACACCAGGCTGGCCAATATGGTGAAACACCATCTCTACTAAAAATACAAAAAACAGGCCGGGCGCGGTGGCTCACACCTGTAATCCCAGCACTTTGAGAGGCCAAGGCAGGCGGACCGCGAGGTCAGAAGATCAAGACCATCCTGGCTAACATGGTGAAGTCCCGTCTCTACTAAAAATACAAAAAAAAAAAAAAATTAGCTGGGCATGGTGGTGGGTGCCTGTAGTCCCAGCTACCCGGGAGGCTGAGGTAGGAGAATGGCGTGAACCCAGGAAGTAGAGCTTGCAGTGAGCTGAGATTGCGCCACTGCACTCCAGCCTGGGTGACAGAGCAAGACTCCATCTCAAAAAAAAAAAAAAAATTAGCTGAGCATCATGGCGCATGCCTATAATCCCAGCTACTTGGTAGGCTGAGGCAGGAGAATCACTTGAACCCAGGAAGCAGAGGTTGTGGTGAGAGAAGATCAGTCCACTGCACTCCAGCCTGGGCGACAGGATGAGACTCCGTCAAAAAAAAAAAAAAAAAAAAAAAAAAAAAAAAATCCCAGCTAGATTATTTGCGGAATTTGACAAACTGATCCTAAAATTCATATGAAATCCAGGGGACCCCGAATAGCCAAACCAATCTTTTTTTTTTTTTTTTCTTTTGAGATGGAGTTTCGCTCTTGTCTCCTAGGCTGGAGTACAGTGGCATGATCTCAGTCCACTGTAATCTCTGCCTCCTGGGTTCATACAATTCTCCTACCTTAGCCTCCCGGGTAGCTGGGATTACAGACGCCTACCATCACGCCCAACTAATTTTTGCATTTTTAGTAGAGACGGATTTCACCAGGTTGGCCAGGCTGGTCTCGAACCCCTGATCTCAGGTGATCCTCCCACCTCAGCCTCCCAAAGTGCTGGGATTACAGGCATGAGCGGCCGTGCCCAGCCTGTATTGTATTTTCTAAAGTTTTTGCAATTGGTTTGTGTTACCTTAATAATTAGAATAAAGCAATTAAAGCAAAAAAGATTTTAAATGCTTGTAATGTTAGTGAGCATACAATTTTTGCTATGCTTCTTTAATTTAATATCATGTGGGGTTGGGCCTGTAATCCCAGCACTTTGGGAGGCCAAGGCGGATGGATCACGAGGTCAGGAGTTTGAGACCAGCCTGACAGATATGGTGAAACCCCATCTCTACTAAAAATACAAAAAAATTAGTTGGATGTGGTGACGTGCACCTGTAATCCCAGCAACTCGGGAGGCTGAGACAGGAGAATTGCTTGAGGCTGGGAGGCAGAGGTTGCAGTGAGCCAAGATCGTACCACTGCACTCCAGCCTGGGTGACAGAGCAGACTCTATCTCAAAAAATATATATATATAATAATAATTTAGTATAATGTGAAGTCTTCTTACCTCTTCCTTGACTAGAGGAATTCAGTGAAAACAGCATCTTCTCCCTGGGCTGTAGGCAGGAAATGGAACCCCTAAGCTTTGCTTTGCAAGATGAGGAGACCTCAGGCTAAGGTGGGAATGGAAATAGTTTAGAAACAGAAAAAGAAGAGCAGTTTCTCAGATTGCCAAAGAAGGAGAATGTTGTCCTAAAAATAGATTAGAATGTGGTGGCTGGAGTCAGGCATTCTGAACTAAATTTTCAAGTCTTAGTATTCAGGAAGCTGTCAGACAAGGCAGACCAGAAGCCA